TCCTAATTTACCATCTGTTCCTTTCAATGAGGATGAAAAAAGAAAATTAGAAAAGTTTCTAGAAGATTATAAGTCTAGATATGACTAAGTATGGTGCTACTGAAAAGAGCGGGGAGCCTAATGATGACAGTTAGAACATATAATATCAACTTGATTACTACTAATCTTAACTCCTTCTTCCCTTTGATGGCGAGATAAATTTTCAAACATTAAAAACCTTTTCGGTCAGTTATTTCCATTCACAATGAATTGTCTCGCGTTTTTTCTTCTTGATGTGGTATATTAGTATTAGTATTCATGTTAGTATTATTTTTTTATATTTTTCTTTGTTGTTGCCTACCCTTGTGAATAGGCAACCACACAATTCATTTAGTTTTTATTATTCACTTTCTTCATCTTCGTTTTTTTTCTTCAACTTGACCTTTACCTTTTTCTTCAGTTGAACCGTTTCATCAATCACTAATATTTTTTCAGAATATCACAGCCAATACTCCTATGACTAACACTGAGCCACCACCAATTCAGAGAACTTTTCCTGTAGTTGTTTCAAAATCTCATCATGACTTTTCAAGATCACCGGTTGATTTAATTGGAACTTTTTTTTTCTTAACCTTATAGTATTCAAGATTAGAGTCACCCCTGGCTTTTTCTCAATAATATTTTATTATACCTTCATCATTAGGCTCCCCGCTCTTTTCAGTAGCACCATACTTAGTCATATCTAGTCTTTGTTCATCGTCGCCAGTACCCGTTTTTTGATTTTTCATATCTGTTTTTGCTTTAGTCTTGTTGTCTGCATCCTTTATCCAGTAAGCATAAATAGTTTTTATTACTTTTTCAGGTGCTTCTTTGAGGAATTTCTTTCAAGCCTTCTCTTCATTACTTTCATCAATTTTACTACCACCTTTTACTCCAGTGTCTTTCAAATATTTAATGAAATCTGTTTTTTTACTACTATCTGAAACTAATTCAATCGCCTCTTTAATTTACGCTTTTTCAACTTTTTCATCATTTCAATTTTTCAACACATTAGTGTCTACTACATCGGTAACATTTCCGAATGCTTCTTTTAGTTCTTCCTCAGTTATTTTTGTTTTATCATCATCTTGTCCTTTTGGTTTAATTTCTTTATCAATAGCTTCTACTACCGCAGTATCGCCCATGCCAGCATAAGCCTCACGGACTATTTCCAAAGAAATACCATCAACACCCCCTTTAACTTTGGCTATTCTTGATGCTAAATCAGTTCCTTGACTTTCAAATCAAACCCTAACTACAGAATTTCATGAATTAGAATTATTATTTTGATTTTTTTCAATTTCCTTCCAAATTTTTTGTAAATCACTTTCTAAGGGTCCGTTAACATTACTATCATTTTTTAAATACCTGATATCAACTAACATTTGTTTGGCAGCTGCTGCTTTCAAAATATTAACTGGACTAGTTCAATCAAAATTGCCATCAAGGAAGTTAGTTTTACCTATTTCAGTTTTTTTATCAGCTGCCGCAGCTTCCATTAGATTTCTAATTTTACCAGATTCAACTTCCATTTTGTCATTTTCATCCTTTATTTTTCTTTGATGTGCAATTATCAGTTTATTTTGTTCAGCAATTTCTTCTGTTTTGAGCTGTGACATGCTTTTTAATTGAATTTCTCTTGTCTTCCTTTCTCTGATAGTTTCATTAATGTCATCAATGCAATAAACCACTTCTGTGCCATTTCCATCCGGTCTTGTCCTTTCATAAGTAAAAGGTGCAATCTTTGCATTGTTTTTTTAAATCAATAATTAACTCTTCGTAAGGGTTTTTTCCTATATTATAACCATAAGTAGGATAAATAAAAGTCCCCCCCTCTATTAAAAGAACACTTTTAAGTCTATTGTCAGGCTCAGTGTAAGCATCCCAAAATAATGTAAACCAATCCTTTAATGAATTAAGTTTTTTTCTTTCAACTAGGGTAAAATCTTCGGTGGGCATATAAAATTTTTCTAATCCACCAAACATTGTAAGATCAGCATTTGTATACGGTTCTCCATCAGCAGGCAAAATACCAAAATCAAAATTCTTTTTTATGCCACTATCATCCAAACTTTCAATAAAAGTTAGATTATGCATTGGACCGACTTTCTCAATAAATTTAAAAAAATCATTCATTGCAAAAAGTTTGGTCTGATAACTTTTTGGATTCACTTTGCCATCTGTATCACGAGTATAATCTAACTCATGACCAAACATAAAGAAAATTCTATCATCACCTTTATTAGATGATGGTTCTTCAACCATGTCTTTAAAATAATCATTTTGTAAAGTGGCGAAAGTAGTTTTTAAATCAGTTATTTCAGCTGGCGTGAATTGAGAAGTTGCTTTATCAATTTTAGCATTAAAATCGGCTATTTTAATTTTACTTAATTGTCAAGCAAGACCACCAATTATTGTATCTGCTTCGTCCAAAGTAACTTTTATCTTTTTACCATTTATTGTAATCTCAATTAAATTATCACTTAAATTAACTTTTTTAGTTTCCTTAATTGCTTTAGCTCAATCCTCCGAATTTTTTTTTAATTTATAATTAGTAACGAAATCACGATAAATGTTCTGAGCGGAGCCAGTAGGAGTAGTAGTAGGGCTAGTTCTTAAAGAACCAACAGTACCCGCCGCAGCTTGCAAATCACTGTAATCTTTTATAACATAATCTTTTTCTTCTTCGATTTTAACAATTTCCTTTTCAATCTCATCTAATCTTGCTCGATAAATGTCATTTTCTTCTTTTTTTAATCTGTCTTTTTCTGCCTTGTACTCCTTGCCTTTTTTTAAAAAACTATCTATTTCACTTTCTTTGCCTTTTAATTTTAATTTTAAATTTTTAATTTCACTATCGCTAGCAGTTATTCAATTCTTAGTCATATTTTAATTTTAAGTATTACTTATAATATTTTAATAATGTAGTCAAAAACCTAATAAGAATTTCTAAGCCTTATTTGTTTTTGACCTTATTTAACTCTATATTTTACATCAATTATCGGACGAATGCTTTCTTGTAGTTACCTATCGCTTCTTATATTAATCAACTATATTATATATTTTATATGCATTTGCATTGCTGTGAGTTACTAAAGAATTTAAACCACCTTATAGTTAACATACGCATAAATTTCACAAAATTTTAATAATTCAAATTTAGGGGAGGAACTATCTATAAGTTCTCGCTTGTTCTTTAATCTCTAATAAATATTTTTTACTAGTGCTCGAAATGTGGGTCATTAATTAAACTTTCTTTTTGCCAAAAAAAATTGAACTAATTTTGGAACTAGACAATTAAAAAACTGATACTTTTTTTTTTTCTCTATCCTCGCGACCCTTTTCTTTCTGCTTTTCTAATAAATTATTAAATTCTTTTTCAGGAAATTCATGATTCCTATTTTTTAAATAAAAACGAATTAACTCTAGGGGAATTCCTTTCGTATCATATCAAAAAAATATATTCTCGGCAGTAATTTTGAGAGAATAATAATTATCTAACTCTTTGGTCGACTTATTGATAAAATCCAGTGATTTATTTATTTCTTTTTTTAGTTCACTAATTATCAAACTTTTTTTTTCTTTTAAATGGCGATAATGAGTTGAATTAACTTCAATCAATTTTTCACTAATTTTTTGTAAATGCTCATTATTTAAATTAAGCAAATGTCCCAATAAAGTAGCCTTTTTTACTAACTTTTTGAGAATATAGCCACGTCCTTTCGGTTCAAATGCTGCTCCATCAGCCAGGGCAAAAATGGCAGTTCGCAGATGGTCAGTAATAATATAATAATTTCCTTTTTGGTGGTTGGTGTCAATCATTTTAATTATTTTTACCAGTTTCAGCCTGAGCTAAAAATTTTTAAAGTTTCAATTGCTTTCCCACTTTTTGTGCGAGTTCAAAAAAAACCTTTAATTTTTCCTTAGTTAGGGGGGCAAATTTGCTGACTCACTCCACAAAAGCAAAAATTATGAGCTAATTTTCGTTGAACGATTAAAGACTTGGAGGAAATTCCTCATGACATTATTTAAGTTATGAGAATCAGAGAGGAAGCGGACATTATTATCACTGATTACCGAAATACTGCCAAAAACTCCCAAACCCATTTTTATAGAACAAGAACCAGTAATTTTACCACAAAAACTAATTCAACAGGAAATTCCTTATCAGTTCCAAAAACACTTAAAAAAAGCCCACAATTAGTTAACAAAATTTCGCCAAAATCTCAGGAGAGATTTTTGCTAGCCAACACCAACAAAAGGGAAAATATGACTGAAATCGAACTTATTTTATTAGCCAAAATTAAAAAGTGCGTAAAATACTTATATATAGGAAAATTAACCTATATTTATTACCAACAAATAAAAATTTAGTCTATGGAGACAGACAAGATGAAAATGATAGAAACTAGTAATCATAATAAGAAGTATTACTAGTATTCTTACAAAAGTTAGTAGTAATCGTTTAATAACTTAGCAAATTTTAATTTTTAATAAATAAAAATAAAACAATATTTAAAATAAATAATATGGGATGATACTGTCCAAGATGCGGAATATTTTCTTTCAGTCGACCTACTCGATGTGAATCATCAGTTTGTAGCCCAACAAGAAGTGTTCAATATGTTCCTCCAGCAAGTTACTACTGCCTTTGTTGCTCTATGCAGATCACTTATGGACAAACTTATTGTTATCAACACATTAACCAATGTTCCTATTGTTCGAATCGAATTTCAAGTGGGCAAAGTTTTTGTTCTAGTCACCAAAATCGTTCTTGTTATAGTTGTGAAACAACTATTTCTTACCAAGATACTTATTGTTATTCTCACTTAAGTGCTTGCCTAACTTGTTCCATGAGGATACCAAGTGGACAGAGTTATTGTTCTAGTCATGACAAATCTTGTACTGAATCTAGTTGTTCAGCAAGAATTCCAACTACACAAGAATATTGTATTTCACATAAAAAACAAACTCTGCAAAAATGATGAGAAAAAGGAAAAATTACTGATGAACAGAGAGAAATCTTGTTTTTTTGTGATATCAAAGATAATGAGGAAGAATATGAATTAGAAAATTTAACAAAAATATCGAATAGAAACCAAGAAATGTATAAAAATAAAATTACCGAATTAAAATCAGAAATCGACCAATTAAAAAAAAAATTAACTACTTACGAAGCTTATAAAAAAGATTTAGATTCTATTGAAGGAATTCTAATTGATCTTCGTGATGAGAACAAGAAATTAGATTTTCAAACTATTGTTAATTATAAAGTTTCTCCTGCTAAATTGAACGAAGCTCAACAAAAAATTAAGGACTTGCGGGTTAGTTTAGGGATTGGAAAAGAATTCGAGGGCATTGATTTGCAAGATGATATTGAAGACATAAAAAAAAAAGATGATGCTAATAATCAGAAAATTAGTAGGCTTGAATCAAAGAGGGATAAATTGGAAAAAGATATTAACGATTTAGATAAAAAAATTAGAAAATTAGAAGAAAACGAGGAAGATAACGAAGATGAAATAAGGAGATTGAAAAGAGAAAAAAATGGACTTGAAGAAGATTTAAAAATAAAGGAGAAAGACTTAAAAACAGCACGAGAAGAAAAGAAAAGATTATCAGATGAATTAGCAGCGTTAAAAGCTCAGCAACCCGCCACTCCTAATTTACCATCTGTTCCTTTCAATGAGGATGAAAAAAGAAAATTAGAAAAGTTTCTAGAAGATTATAAGTCTATGAAAAATTTATGGTATAAAGATATTATTAGTGTAGCAAGTTCTGGGTCAGAGAAAAAAGAATGAGAAAAGAAAATGGATGGGTTTGAGGCTCAAGTTGTAGAGTATATAAATAAGATAAAAAATTAAAATTAACATGCTGTTATGTTTGAAGAAAAAGAAGAGGCAATCAATTTTTGAAAAAACAAATATAAAGAATTGAAAATAATTAAAGACAAACTAGAAGCCGATTTATTGTTTAGAGAAGTAATAAGTTCTCCTAGTCAAGGGAAGGATTCGGGAACTAGTGAAATGGCAAAGGAGTTATCTAAAATTAATAAAGAATTAGATAAAAAAAAGGCAGAAAAGGCTAGATTAGAAGATGAAATTACTAGTAAAAGAAATGAAAAGAAAAATCTAGAAGAGAAAGGAGAGACTAATAGTGAAGAGTACAAGAAGTTGCTAGCAGAAATTGAAGACTTGAGAAAACAATTAGCAAGCACCAATCAAGAAATTGACAAAATAAGAAGGAAAAATGATAATTTAAAAGAGCAGCTTAATGCTAATTATCAAACTTTGCAAGCAGAAATTGAAGAAAAAAGTGAAGTATTAGAAAAAGCCAAAATTAATTTCTTAGAAAAGATTGAAGACAATCGAAATTCATCCGTTAAAAAGGCTTTTTCAGATATTTTGAAAGACAAAAATAATAAATATTATACTGAAAAACTGGAATCACTTTTAAAATTTCAAGAAGAAATAACTAGAGGTGGCAGCGATTTCCTTACTGATCAAAAAAAGAAAATAATTGCAGAAATACCTAAAAAATTTTCTGAGGAATCAAAATCACTTTGTATTCTTCAGGAGGAACTCACTAAGTTAGAAATGAAGAAAAAAGATATTGAAAAAGCTGGTCAAGTCCTCAAAACCGTAATGATAGCACCAGTTATCCCCCCTCAATTACGTAACAAAGAAAGTAGTCTGGAAGATAGAAGTGATATTGAAAAAGGCATTAAATATGATAAAATACACTCAGAATCAAGAAAATTTCATTTACAAAAAAATCATAAAATAGAAGAATTCCCTACTAGACTTTATAGTATTCAAGAAAATAGAGTGGTAGAGGCAAAAAACAACGCCAATATTAACAATTATGCCATTCTCTCTTATGTTTGGGGTGAAGCTGGTGATTTACCGGCGGAGGAAAGGAATGAACTAGATAATGTATGAAAAATTATCGGATATAAAAATGAATTAAACCTTTCAGGTTACAAATCTTTAAAAAAAGCTATTGAAACTTGCAAAAAACTAGGTATTGACCATCTTTGGATGGATCAATTATGCACTAATCAGGGGGATAATGAAGACAAAAATAAAGAGGTTCCCAAAATGAGACAGTATTATTTTAATAGTACAGTGACTTTGATTGCCATACATACCAGTCTTGGTAGTGAAGAAGTCGCACAAGGAGTAGATTCAGAAAAAGTGCTAGAAAAAATAGTTAGATCTAAGTGATTTTCTCGCTCCTGAACTTTTCAGGAAGGTTGGCTATCTAAGCAAACTCTTTTTATGTTCGACAATGCCTTAATTGATGGAAGTATATTAGCTAACAGGTGAGTGCTTGGTCAGCCATCATACGCTGGTCATGCTAATTACAAAAACATTCTTGATGAAGGCTCTCAAAAAATCGCTACTCCGCTCGGCTGAGTGTATTATAAAGATGGTTATGATGAAGAAGACCGAATATCATTTACCCTCAATCAAGCTTTGCGAGCCATTAAAAACCGTGGTCGCGGTGTTTCAATTGATGGAATCTACTCTATTCTCGGCCTGTTGCCTTATGGCGATAAAGTGCCAGTAAATTACAAAAAGTGAGGTGAAAGATACGAGCAAAAAGATTTAGAAAAAGCCTTATTTGATGTTATGTTTACAGCAATGAAAGAGGGAGGATATAATGAATATTTTGCTTGGCATGGATTAGGAGGTAGCTGATTGCCGGAAGTTCATGAGGAAGATGATAGTGGCTATCCAAAAAAAACAAAAGGAGGAACAAGCATTGAAGGAGGAATAAATATTGTCCGTAGACATGATGAAGAACTTGACTTAGAAAAAGTTATTGAAATCACTGTTTCAAAATACAATATAAAAGTAATGCATGGAGGTTCAAACTGAAAGGAAGAAAAAGATAAAGGTTCAGTAATAGACAGTGGTGCTTGTACTAGAAGTATCACAGTAAGTTCTAATGATAACCAAGAGGAAATAGAAATAACATTATTAAGTACAAGTGAAATACTCAAAAAAAGGATAAAATTAGGTGACATTCTATTGCTACTTAGCAAAGAAGAATGAAAGAGTAATAAACCTTTTGCTCTAATAGTAAGAAAAAACAATGATAATAATTATCAAAGAATAGGTTTAGTAGAAATTAAAGAAAAAGATTGAGAAAAATTACAAGAAAACAAAGAAAAAGGAGAAGAAAAATTAATAATTAAGGTGGATAAAGAAAAGACACAAATTCAGGTGGCTCAAATTGAACAATCTCCCGGGAAATAATTAAAAACTATTCATTTTAAATAGAAAAAGAGACTTTGCGAATTTGAAGAGTATGTGAGAGAATTTAATATAGATGATTATAAATATTAATATTTATCGCATTTTTTACTGTATACATGTTTTTTATCCTATACCATTCTATACCAAAAAAAAGATGATAAATTATTTGCTCATTTTTCTCTTTTTTTCTCGCTCATAACTTGCTAGGGCTTTTTCTAATACTTCGGCTTGAAAAAGTTTCTCCTGCTGAGAAATATTTTTTACTTTTTCTAACCATTCTTTGGTAACTCGGGTGGCAAATTGTTCGGTGCGACCAGTTCTGTTTAATCGCCTTTTATCAATCTTTTTGCCAATTACTTCGGGGGCGGTCAAATTAGTAGTAATTTCGCTAGGTGCGGGCGGAGCCTCATAAATAATATGAGAGATTTTATTAAAGAATTACTTTTGATTTGAGATGATAGGATAGAAAAGGTTTTAAGTAATCTATGTCAAAAATTTTCTGAGGAAACACAAGCAACAGATGATAAGCAAGAAAATTCAGAAAATCGACAAGAAGCGGAAAAAAACAACTATTCAATTGAAATTGATGGTAAGGTTCAGTAGTTGCATAGAAATTCGTTGCCAAAACAAAATCCTGCTCCAATGTGATTATAAAAACCGCTTGGGCTACTTGGATGTTTATTGATTGACAATTTCTAATTGTCGGATTAATATTCAGTGAATAGTCAACCATTCCCAGAAGCATCCACCCCCTAGGGGCTATTTTGGGTTTTTTTAGCGATAAGAACAGGATTTTTTTCTGGTGAACCAGAAGCACATTTTTCATAGATAAATAGTTTTGAAAAAACTATGAAAAATATTAAAAATCCCCAAAATAAGAATTTTGAAAGTAAGTGAACCAAAGAAAACTGAACCCAAAAATGTCAAATAATTTTTTGTGAGCAAGCCAGTGAAGTTCTAACCATCAATAATAATACTGGTCAACTATTGAGGAGATATTGCCGTTATCACGAATGAGAAAAGTCTGGTAAATATGTAGATATTTTTTAGCATTGAAATATATTAATTGTTTGTTTTTATTGTTATAAAATTTCTTCTTTTTTTCTTTTACCCCACAAATAACCAATTAATGCTGCCACAATTCCAAAAACAACCAATCCACCAATTAATGGCGGAGTGTTATTCTTAGGTTTATTATCAGGCTTAATAGGTGAATTTTTTTGCTGAATTAGACTTTGAAAATATTGAGCGTTCTGCTGTTGGTTACTATCTCCTTTACTTGCTAATTTTTGGGCGTATTCCAATAAATCCATCAATATTGTTCCTTTTCAAGAATTAACCTCACAATTCAGATACTTCAAATTAGGAAAATTAGTTAGCATTCAGGCTAAATCTATTTCCTTGATTTGGTTACTGAAGAGATTGATTTTTTTATTTCGGCAATAAGTGAATAAGATATTCTTAGTATTCATAAGTAGTTAAAGAAAATTATTGAGAGAATATGTTTTTTGCTTACTTTGTTATATTTCTGATTTTATTTAGAAAGCAGTGCTAATTAGTTCTTTAAAAGTATTCAGATACTAAGGCGTTTATTTTTTTGAGGCTTAATGTAGTTTAGTATTACTTTTAAAAATATCTACTAAATATTTAAAGGCTGAATGCTTATTGGATAGGGGGATTGGTGAGCTCCCTTTTTTTATTTAGGTAGGATTTGGATTTGGGATTGTAAGTTTGTATTTTTATTTTCACCGCCGTTATTATCATGCTTTTCAGAGGATTAAACTTCGGCAAGCACAAAGATGACTTAATATTGAAATGTCCTTCTTCTGTTGATGAAAAGCATCCTCCATAGTGAACGATTGTTTCACCTGCACGCAATATAACATCACCTTTGCTTAATTCACTAGATGAAAAAAATATTCCGCAATGATATCCACTATTCATAATTACAGCTTCGACGTGCTTAGCTTTTTCTTTAAGTACCACATCGTGCGATGTCTGTAATATTCAATCTGCTGCTAGATAGCATCCTCCAAGGCATCACTCGGTATGTTTTCCTCCTGAACAAGAATTAACTCTTAATAAACAGTGTTCATGTCTAGTTTCCTTTTCTTCTTCCTTTGTCTTAAAATCTGTTCTAAGAGAAACTTTACACGCGTGAATTCATATTTCTTCTCCTACTTCATTACTTAGATCCTTTCATGTGTTAACAAAAGAAACAGCATCATCCAATGTTAAGCTCACTGAGTCAGCAATTACATATCCCACTATTTCAACTTTAGTTTTAATTCCAAGCTCACTTAACACTTCTTTGCCTCCAAACTTTCCAGAATCATCCAGTAAACCATCTTGGTGTTTAGCAAGCATACGTCCCGGCAATGGACTAACCTTCCAACATTGTCCCGGCACCTTCATTTGTGGTCCAATTATTCCCCCAAAACTACTTCCTTTAACTTTTTCATTGAACTGTTTACAAAACTCAGTATGTATTTCATCAAAATCTACATTATAGTCCACAACAACATTTAATTCTAACAATCCTATTAAACTATAAGCGCGATTAACTATAAGTAATTTTAGCATTAGTAAACTTGTAAAAACTTCTTATATATGTCTTATGATTTGATTATCATTGGAGCTGGTCCAGCGGGATTGACCGCTGCTATCTATGCCAAACGAGCACTTTTAAAATGTTTAATCTTAGAAAAATCCTTAGCGGGCGGGAAACTAAACAAAACTGCTGATGTCGATAATTATCCCGGATTTATTTCCATTAAAGGACCAGAGTTAGCCGAAAAAATGACTGAACATACTAAATATTATGAAGTTGATTGGAAACAAGAGGAAGTATCAAAATTAGAAAAAAAGGGGGAAGAATTTGGTGTGAGCACAAACGAAGGAAATACTTTCACTGGAAAAACGATTATTATTGCATCAGGAGCAATTGAAAACAAATTAGGAATTAAGGGTGAAAGGGAATTTACTAATTTAGGCGTTTCCTATTGTGCAATTTGTGATGGTTTTCTTTTTCGCGGTAAAGATGTCGCAGTAGTAGGCGGAGGTTATTCTGCCTTAGAAACGTCTCTTTATATGAGCAATGTTGCTAGCAAAATTTATCTTATTCATCGACGGACTGACTTCCGAGCCGAGAAAGAAATATTAGCAACTGCCAAAAGCAATTCAAAAATAATTTTTCTTTTGAACTCTGTCGTAACGGAAATTCAAGGAAATGAAGCGGTGGAAAAAATAATTGTCAATAATTCAACTGACAATAAAGATAGTGAACTGATAGTTAATGCCGTTTTTCCTTGCATTGGACTTTCACCATTTAGCAACTTTGCCCACGAATTAGGAATTTGTGATCAGCAAAATTATATCGCTATTGCAGATGACTGTTCTACAAAAATTCCTGGTTTATTTGCTGCTGGTGATGTGGCCCGAGCCAACGAGAAAAAAATTAAACAAATTGTAACAGCTATAGCGGAAGGAGCTATCGCTGCCCAGTCAGCCATCAAATATTTAGAAAAGGTATAAAAATATCTGTTTTGTGCTAAAAATTTATTTTTTTGGTTTAACAATCAATTTTTAATTTCCATTTCCAGAATTATCTTCCTCCATCAATTTTCTTTCTTTTTTAGATTCAATAATAGCATCAGCCACTAAATTAGCAAAAAACCCAATCGATTTCACACTTTCATCATTGCCCGGAATAATATAATCAACTAAACGGGGATTACAATTAGTATTACAAACAGCAATAACGGGTATTCCGATTTGCTTAGCTTCTTTAAAGGCAGTCTTTTCTTTATTGAGACCAATAATAAATAAGGCGTCGGGTTGGCGATACAAATTAATCACTCCCTCATAAATGTTATGCAATTTATTCCTTCTCTTTTCTAGACTAGCTTGCTCCTTTTTTATCAAATTTTTGAAAGTATCTCGTTCCAAAAAATTATTTAACCCGTAAAGTTCTTTCAATTTCTTCTTCATTTCGGGAAAATTAGTTAAAAATCCCCCTTTTCATTTATTAACAATATAAGGCATGCCGCACCTAATCGCCGCTTCTTTGACGATATCACGAGTGATCTTTTTAGTAGCAAGAAATAAAATTGTCTTCTTTTTTTCAATTAAAGTTTGAATATAATTTCCTACTTGTTGACAACTAGTAACAATTTTTTGTAAGTCGAGGATATGAACCTTACTACTTTTTTTGTAAATGTAGGGGCGCATTTGTGGATTACGTCACCGAACCAGGCTGCCAAACTGAACTCCGGCTTCGGCTAATTCATTTTTGTCAAGATTTGTCATAACTATATGATTATTTTACAGTCCGTAGACTTCTCAATTCCTTTTTTGTCATAAGTAAACTTCGGATTTCTAATCTCTAAAAAAATTAATTATTAATCTCAATTTCAAAATCTACTAAAATGTTATTGCCATTTCTGCCTTCCTCGACTGTGAAAGTACATTCTTTTCCTTCTGCTAATCAATTTCATCTTTCTTCGCTTATTTTTCCAGGGAAAACAAAAATTACTTCTTCGTTATTTAGTTTGAGAATTAAGTAATCAGCGTTATTTTTATCTTTTTTTTCTAATTTTTGGTTAATGATTTCTTTAATTATTCGAGTATTATTCATTATATATTGTTGTATATTAATACTATTTTAAACATTTATCAACATGAAAAAGGAATTACCCCCAAATGTTATGGTTTTTATTTCACCTAATAATTCAAGCGCTTAACCTCAATTATTAGGGGGAGTCCGTGGCACTCCCCTTTTTCATTTTAACTAATTCTGTTGACAGGTTTAGTTAGAACCCCGCTTTTATTCATTCTATGATTTCAACCATCCATGCTCGTCATGTACTGCCCATGACCATTTTCCACCTCATTTTTCATTTCCCGAGCTTTTTGCAAAGCCTCTTCTTTAGTGTCACAGGTAATGGCACCGTTAGCTCAGACTTCTTTAACTCGTCATTTATTTAAATTAACTTAACCTAAAAATGAATTATATACTATCATGAAAAAAATCATTATAACCGCCGAGTTAAAGTCG